ACTGTCCCTAGAAATTGATGGAAAAACAAGGTGCTTCCAGGATAAAGAGGAACTAGGAGAATTTGCAACCACCAATTCAACTCTACAGAGAATATTGCAGGATAGTCTAAAAAAGGAACATACCAAGATTCCAGAAATAGTGGCAGAGAGGCCACAATGAATGGAGCAGAAAGCGAAATGAAGAAGACAAACTGATAACAAACGACAGAAAAAGAGCTCAACAGAAATGAGGCAGAGAAGATCAGAAGGTAGGAACAGCTATTTTGGAGAAAACAAGACATTATAATAGCTAGTGCTGATTTAGCATCATCTTGTTTTGAAGTCCCATCAAACTTGTATTCTTCTGTCTCCATCAGTCTTAAAAGGTTGTATCTTATTGGATTTTATTATATATGATAATATAAGCAAAAACTTTTATAGACAAGGAGTTTATATAGAAACCATTGTTCATTTTCTGTTAATTGGTTCTAAATACCCTGTAATGTCATTCTCTTGAATGGTTTTATAGTGTCTTGATATGTTTGGTGCTACAGTATACGAAGTTATACTCCAAGATTTCAAGGAAAGAGACACTATGGTAACTATTTTTATGTCAGGATATCTTGAGGTGAAACACTATTTTGCTTAAATGGTTATGTTTTGACCTGCATTGTTCTGTTGTTATGCCCTCTTTTATCTCAAACCCCTTTTTAAAAAAAAATTATTTACTTTTTTCTTTTTGTTTTTTTAATTAAGGGAAAAAATAAATAAAAAATAGCAGGATACATTATAGTAACCTACTTTGATTTTCTATTAACTTGATTTGAAATCCTGTATTGCCCTCACCATCTTGTTTTGACTGATTTTCCTCTATTCTGCTTTGCTTGAAAGTACCAAGATCGAAAGTATAGGCATAACTGTGAAGACAATAAGAATCATTATGATGCCCATTCCGATTGAGTACTATTTTCTTTTAAAATCCTGTAATGTCTCCAATGCTTTGGTTTTATTCTTTACTGTTTAGTTCAATTTTATTATAACTACCAATTCTTCTTAAAATAGCAAGAAGCAGTATGGTAACCATTGTTGATCACCTTATATTTTGCTTTAACATTATCTATTATGTCCATCCTTTTGATTTGACGGACTCTGTTCTGAGATGTCACATTTGGTTTTACTCTCTTCAAAAAAAGTAATAAGAACTGTGGGATTAAAAAATCCAAAAATGTGTAATTGTCATTGTACAAAAGAAAAGAAAGTGCTCTAAAGGTTATAACTGTGTATATGTTGAAGTGTATAAGATAGATAACCATATTACTGAGTGTTTTTTGGATCATTGAACAAAACTGTTTGCACGCTCACTGTTTGAAAGTCCACTTTATATGCTTCAATTTTGTAACTTGTACAACTATTTCTAAGATGAGAATATGTTATCTATTAACTAGTGATTTCTTACTGTTTATTTTTTAAATTTTGTATTACTTGTACCTTTTGTTTTTTCCTTTTTCTCCTTAAATAAAAAATAAATAAATAAAATCTTTTAAATGCTGCTGGTGATGATGATAACAACACTATTAAAGACTCCTATCTTCAAATCACACCAAGATAAAAGCAGGCATTTGATGTTTCTACTCTCTGCATTTCCAAGAATGACGATCCTGTAATCTTTCTGGTATTCAAAGCTCAAAGGTTAACTTCAAAGACTCAATGACAATTTTCTCATTTTTCTTTTCGTTATGGATACATTCTATTTCTATTACACGTACACTCAGTAAAGAACCAATTTTACTTTTTCTTTCCAGCATTTTAGTCTAGGCTCTGCAGCCTATGTAGGGAAATTCTCTCTTCTACAATGTTATGGTTCAGATCTAAAATGGTGCTAGGAGCCTCAATGCGTTTGGAAGGTGACTGTGTACAGGCGCACTAAGCTGGCTGGCTGTGAGGAGGTGGGGTCTGGCTGTGACCTAGAAGGGTTTAGTCCCTCACCTCCTCCTGTGACTTGCTGCTTTCCCTCCACTATGTCCTTCTGCCCTGCCTCCTGGCTCAGAACCAGTGCATTACGGACTAAATACATGGGTCAGAATAATCCACTCCTACCTTATGTTACTGGTGCCACATATTTTGTCCTAGCAATGAGCAAGGCTACTAAGACAAGCAATGAAAGCCAAGACAGGTCCAGCTCAAGTTCAGGAATGGACCAACAGGTACAGACAAGTTTGCATAGTGAGATAACTAAAGCAACATTGCCTAGTTTCTTCTGGTGGGATGTGTAGGACAAGGCAGCAGTGAAAACTTAACTCGAATGGTCCACAAAACCAGAGAAATACTAAAAACCTATTCCTTATTTTTATGAAGGTTTAAAAAGTTTGCAAGTTACTTTTTTTCCAGTTGGTTGTTTATATACAATTTAACTGAATCTAAATGTGTCCAGTATCTGAACTGTTAAATGCTTTTTCATGTCTTGATAATAAAATATATTCTTGGAGACCAGGGATATAGCTCAGTGGTGCAGCACCATCTGGTAAGCACTAGATCCTGAGTTTGATTCCTGGAACCTACAAAAAACCTAATAAACACATAAAATATATCCTTAACCCAGGTTATACACCTGCTACACACCATTTTGTTTTGGTCCTATAGATAGTCTTATATTTTTATGACAGAGAGATAACCATTAAATAAATAGACTTATTGTTACAGGCTGCTAAGCTAGTTAGAAATATTATAGGCAGTGAGACAGGGCTAGGCCCTTGAAGAAGCCGGCACAGAGGACCAGATGTCTGGTGACCATGGAGGAGACACACACTCCTTGCTGTGGGCCAGATCTCAGGACAAAAGGCAAAACAAATGCAACCACACCCTTAAGTACAATTCTTAAGGATTAAATCTGGATCACCCTGAGGAGCCAGGAGTCATCATTCCAACCCCTACAGGAAGAGTCACTGATCCATAAAGAGTGCTCACTTGCCTAGTGACTCACCTCCCCATTTTCCTGATTTGGTCAATTTTACCTGAATAACAAAACTTATTAGTTGACCACAGCTCTGTCCCACTCCATGCCCATCTGCCTTGTGAGTTCCCAGTTATCCCAAATTTTAGACCTGCATCATCTTATGATTTTATTCTATAAAATTCCCTACAAAAGGTAGAGTCCCTGGTAACCCATTCAGGACCCCTCTGTCTCTCTCTCAGACAGAAGCTTTCTTTCTTTCAATAAATATTTCTGCTCTTAACCTCTGCTGTTCCTAAAATTCATTCTCCGACTTGAGAGAACATGAACTTGTTCTGGACATATGGTAGGTTGGGAGCTTTGTACTTTTATATGAATCATATGAATAACACAAAATTTGAGAATGTGATCAATGCTACAAAAAAATTAAAGCTATGGAGGGATGAAGTAGAACAAGCTGAGAAAAGATGATCGTTTACTTTAAATAAGATTTTCACTGCGGCAACAGCTTTGGAGCTGAGACTCCAAATCTGATGCGGAGGAAAATGGAGGCAGGTGGGAGGCTGCAGAGTGCCCCGCCTTGAGACTGGGAGGGAAACATGTCGGGTCAGACGGAAACCCACAAAGGACAGAAAGAGCCCAGGTGGGTCGGAACTACAGGCAGGGGCTGATGGGAATCTCACCTGACATGACACCAGGGTGGTTCTTGCACCAGATAAAAGCTGTCTAAGAATAGAGATAATAATATGGAAGATATGGAAAAAAGACAACAGATTAGGAATCACTAGACATGGGTCAAATTCCAGTCCTTCCCTCTGCATCTCAGAAGCAAACAGAAACTGAGATTCATTACCATGAGTAACCACTGAGGTCTGAACCAGGCATTTGACTTTTTTTTTTTCTTTTCACTTAACTAAGAGAAGTTCCCAGTTCTCTTAGTTACAATATGTGTTCCGCCTATATTATGGTTATCTGGAAGGCAAATGAAATTAATATGTAAAAGATTTTTAGTAGTTGAATATCCATTTAAAGGCATCATCACTACAGGAAATGTACTTCTTTTCTAAGCTGTGAGTTGCAGGATGTTTATTGTCTCTGGTGTAGGATACTCTACCGCTGATGTAAAAAAGATGACCTTTGGAGAATCTCTTATGCTTGCTGCCAGAGGTAAAGAGGCAATATGACACTCTACAAAACTAGGCACACCAGTAAAAGCAACTACAAAACCTGTGATCCAGGTATTTTTCCCAGGTTCTATTCAGTCTTGTTTTTGTTTTTTATCATTTTGATTAGCGTATATTAATTGAGTGGAATGTTGAATTCCATTGTGACATTTTCATACTTGTACTACATATTTTTATCACATCCATCCCCCTTTTCTTAATCATTTCAACTTACATATACTTCTAAACTATTACAGTCAACTTGCAAAAGAAAACATTCTGTTTCTTGGCAGCCTTTTGTAGACCGTAACCTGTCACTGTCACACACGACACCTGTGAAGTAGTGTCATGAAATCTCAAGTTACCATACAGGAAACTAAGATTATTATGCATCTTTGAAAACTTACAAAGAACTGATATGCACAGTATAGCAATCTAATGAATTACACTGGCCAAGAAGGTTGATAAGAAAGGCATTTAACCCAGAATGGAAGAACGTTGTAACTACTTGTTTCAAATAAAAATCACATTTGAATAAAGTATCATCTATGCTTACTTATAGAATCTTTAATATTATTTTGTTTACATATATGGTATCCAATACAGTGGCCAAAACTAAATTACACATGCATATAATTATGCATTCTTTTGAAGTACATTAACTTTAAAGCTAATTGCTAAGGTTTATTTGTTGACTTGTTATGACTTCTATCAATTCATTAAGCTTATTTAAAACTGTGATCTCGTAAGAACAGGAACTGTAATGTGTATCTGCAACACTGGCTCTAGCACACTTGTAGACTTAGCATAGATGCCTGAGCAATCTTTCCAAATGAAAGAAAGCCCAGTCCCAAGCAAATCCTCCTGAAATGAATTTCTAACTCTAAAATCTCTAAGCTCACACTTACCTCTGGTATACAAGCTCCTGTGAAACCAAACAGCCCATTGGCATTGTCACTCTTTTGTATTATTAACTTTGCAGTAGTATTTTCTTCAGAAATGTGAGCTCCTCCATATACAGAGACTAATTTAAGAAAGAATAATTCTTCTCCTTCCTCTTTGTTGTCATCTCTTGCAGAAACAATAAACGATTTGTTAGTTTCTCCCTGTCTGAACTCCAGATATCCAGAAATGGGGTGTAAATCATTCTTTGCAGGCATAGTATGAAGCTCATAAATTTCTTCAAGGGTCAGTTTCCGGTCATAGGCCCTCACGTCCTGCATCACACCCGTAAATCTGTCGTGGCCATTAATGCCTGCCCCGATTCTCAGGACTCCAGGACCTGAAATTAGATGTGGGTTTAAATGTTACACTATCCATGCATAACCTACCCTAAATACCACCTGTGATTCAGAAAATAGGACTAATTAAATAAGATATGTTTTTAATGTATAATACTTCTGCATATCTACCACATGAATAAATAAAGGTTATATTCTATTATGGCAAAAATAACTAAAGCAGTCACTAGGGTTTATGATATTTTATGCTAAAAATTAGTATCTGCAAATTAAATGATGTCCTTAAAAGGAGTATCTGTCAGTCTGGCAAAGCATCCAACAGAAAAATAACTAACTGTTTACATACATATACCTACATATGTCTGTGGCATGATAGACATTTGGTTACATGTTTCTTCTATAACTTTTTAAATCAAATTGCTCATCTAAAAAAGAATGATTTAGCTCAGTCATAATTTTAAAATGTCAGTCTTATTATTATTTGAGAACTTCACAGCTTGATGTGTTAGAAACACATCCCGAGTTAGAGAATTCAGCAAAAAAAAAAAAAAAAAGTCCCTGTGGGTCAAACACATCTTCATAAATAGAATGAATATAGAAATAGAAGTATTTCTTTCCAAAAATATTATATGCACGTATTAGAGACTTTCTATAATAATAAAATGCAGCCTACCTCTATCACTATAGTTCAATAATAATCATTTTCAGGATTTTATCAGTTCTTACTTCTTCCCTGTTCTTTTTCTAATAACTCAGCTAAGATACTTACATAAGATGAAAGCTTGGTAGTGATTTTGGAAAAAAAAAAAGTACAAGTGATATGTCAGCGGTCTCAGTGACGGCGGTTGGCCACGTTCCTGTCCAGGTGATTCATTTAGAGTAGCCACATATACACTGCACATTATGATCACAACTGCTCCTGGTCTACTATCGAGACCATCTTCCTCACCTTCTTGCGTAGCAACCCAGGGCCCCTGATTCCCCAGAACTCCCATCTGGGTGCAATATCCTATAATGTCTCTCTTGTAGAATTACCCAGCAACTGTGTGAGTCCTGCTAATTCTCAAAAAACTATGTGCCCTGAGTTTGATCAGTCAAGCCTCTATAGCAGTGATGGCAAGCCTTTTAGAGCTTTCAATGATAGAAAAAGCCCGCTGTAGCATACGTGCCTTAGACCTACCATTACTACTATATACTCAGACTATAGATACAATCATGGCCCTTTTAGTTTTATTTCCATGAAGACTAAAAAGGAAAGTAGCTTAGATTCAAGACTTGGATTCTAGCTTGCTTGTCAATGTTGCCTAATTCATTTACCATTTTTGACCTCTGTTTTTTTATCTATTAAATACATAATGAATTATAGTGAAATCCAATTTTGGCAATATGTGGAAACACCTCATAAATGCAAAACACCCTACAAATTAGAAGTGCCCTAAATGCTTTCCTTCTATCACTAATTCTCTAGAATAAACATGATCAATATTTCTCTAACTTCGGTATCAATCGTTTAAGTTACAAGCTAAATCATCCAAAATAAGAACACTATGAAGATATTAATTTATTTACTCATCTGTTAAACAAATAGATCGATTCCATATCTTGGTGTCTTGCTTCCTTTCCTCAACACTAGGACAAAATATCCAACACCCACAACCAGAAGGAGGAGAAATTTATTTTGGCTAACAGTTTGCAGAGGTTTCAGTCCACACTTGGTAGGCTCTGGGGCAGAACAACATGGTGGAAGGACCTTGGCAGAGGACAGCTGATTATTAGTGACCTTTAACACTTTTCCATATTCTTGGTGGCCATTTGTGTAGCCTCCTGAGAAAGATTTCAGATAATCTGTATAACCGCTGAGAAATGTTTCAGATGAGTATTTTTTAATTGGATTATTTTCTGTAGAGTTGAGTTCTACATATTCTGGAAATCAATTCCTTGTTGGATGAATAGTTTGCACAAAGTTTCTCCTGGTTTGTAGGTTGTCTCTTCACTAATTGATTGTTTCCTCCACCGTACAGATGCTTTTTATATGTTACCTGGACTTTTGGTGCTACAAACTTTTTTTTCCCAAAACATTGTCCTGGACATTGTGCCTTATATTTTTCTCAGTACTTTCAAAGTGTCAGATCTTACATTTCACACTTTATCTAGTTTTTTTTAGATATTGAGTGTGGTGAAAGGGATTTAGCTTCTTTCTTCTGCATATGGATATCTAGTATTATCAGCACCATTATTTGAAGACACTTTTCTTTCTTCAATATATGATCTCACAAATTTTTTCTGTGATGAATGTCATCAGTATTGTAATAGGAATCACACTAAATCTGTAGATTCTTTTGGGTGGTATGCATATTTTAACAATATTAATTCTACCAATCCATGAACTTGAGATGTCTACTTTTTTGTGTGTCAATTTTTTGATCAATCAGTTTTGTACTGATTACAGAGATCATTCACACTTCCTTGTTCAAATTTATTCCCAAATATTTTTTTAATTACACCTCTTTGAGTGAGATTGCTTTTTTTCCTCAGCATTTTCATGTTTGAAAAAAAATTCATTTTTGTGTATCCCAAGTATTGAAGAAAGAAAAGGCTACTAATTTTTGTATATTGATTTTATTCATCACTTTTCACAGGTTTTTGCCATTGTTGTGATCACTGGTTTTTTGTTATCTCCTTACTATTTCTTATTTTATTGCTCTGGCCAAGAATTTCATACTATTCTGAATGAGAACGGTAAATGTGAACATTCTTAACTTGCTCCTGGTCTTAGAAAACAAGGGTTTAGCTTATCTGTACCGCATGACATAAGAGATGGGTTGTCACATATTATGTCACTTATTGTGTTGAAACATATTTCTTTTTTGCTTTAATTTTTTTATGAGCACATTCTATGTATCATTGTTGATTTTTGATCATGAAGAGGTACTGAACTTTCTTGGTTTTTCTATTAAGATCATCATATAAATTTTAATCTTTTATTCTGTTGATACTTAGAAGTAAATATAACAGGATGTAAAAGATCTGTACACTGAGAATTATGGTACTCTGGAAAAGGAGATTGAAGTGGATATCTGAAAATGGAAACATATCCTTTGCTCTTGGGCAGCAAGAACCCACATCATGAAAATGGCCATATCCCCAAAACTGCTACACAGATTTAATGCAATCTCAATCAAATTATCACTAGATACCTCACAGAATGTTTTCTACATTCCTAACATTCATTTGGAGCCAGAAAAGACCTAGAATAGCAAAAGCAATTCTGGGCAACAAAAGGAAGGGGGGAGCATCACAATCCCTGACTTGAAATTATACTACAAAGCTATTGTAATAGAAACAGCATGGTACTGGGAAAAAAAACAGACCTGAGGATAAATATAACAGATTAGGAGATCCAGAAGCAATACCAAACACACTAAGCTACCTCACCTTTGACAGTGGGGCCAAGCAGGTTTGCTAGATGAAAGAGAGTCTCTTTAGTAAATGGTGGTAGAAAAACCAGCTTTCCACATGCTGAAGACTTAAATTAAACCCACATCTCTCACCATGCACTAAATTAAAATTGAAAATGATCAAAGATCTAAATGCTAAAACAGCAAACTAAATCTGCTGAAATAAAAAAAAATAGTTAGGTCTCTAAGACATAGATGTAGGAAGAAATTTCAAGAACAAAACCCAGCTCACACAAGAAATACTAGAAAGAACAACTGAGATTTAATGAAAATCTCAGCTTATTAAAAAGTTTTTGCACAGCAAAAGAAATTACTAATACAGATAAAAGACATCCACAGAGTTGCAAAAATGTTAGCCAGTTGTCCCTTAGGCAAGTAGTAATATCTAGAACACATAAAGAATTGAAAAAAATCAGAATGCCCTCAAAGATCCAATAAAAATGGGCATCAGAGATAAATATACACTTCTCAAATGAAAAAATACAAATGGCAAATGTGATGGATTGACAATTGGTGGTCAATTTTTAATATCAGCTGAACTGAATCAGCATAGTGCTGAATGTGGATGGTACACCTGAAGATCTTTGCCAACATAAAAAGAAATGGAGAGGATGAAGTAGTGTTGTTGGTTCTCCACAGTGTTGGTTCTTCATGGTGTTGATTCTCCTGTTGCCACTAGTTCTCCTGGAGGACCTTGTCGAGCCTCTTTCCTAATATGAACTTAGCTGTTCTCATCAGAGGAACTCGGGACCTTGTTGCTAAGAATGGCTGCAGTGCACTTTGGGGGAGCTCGGGTCTTTACCACTTCCTGGCTCCAGAGGGGAAGAGGCTGTGCTGTTCAGTCTCCAGAAATTTGTCGTGCTGGTTTCCTGATATGAGCTTGACTTTTCTGATCATCATAGGAGCCTGGGGCTACACTGTCACTGTGGATGGCTGTGGTACTTTTTGGAGGAGCTTATTTTGACCACTGCTTCCTGGATCCAGTGCAGAATCCTTAGCCTGCTGACACAGATCCTTCACCCCACTGGCCCAGACTTTCTTCCACTGCTTCCTTTCACAGCTGACCGTTAGGCTTTCCCAGCACAGAGGCGTGGAATAGACTTGCATAAGATATTGCAGTAGGATCTAGGCCTCCAGTTGAACTCATGGGGAGCACTTTCCTGAGCTCTAGGCTTCAGTTGAACTCACCCAGGATGCTGCCATGAAATCCAGGCCCTTGGCTGGATTGTTTGGCTTTCAGTATATGGACAGATTTCCTGCATTATTTCTTTTATATTTAATTCTTTGGGTGAGCATCATAAAATAGTACTATAAATTATGTATCCTGTATATAATTGTTTTCCTTGCAAACCCTGACCACAACAGCAAATAGATGAAAAAATGTTCATGATCCCAAGTCACTAGAGAGATGCAAATTAATGCTGAAGATAGCATCTCACCTTGGAAACAATGGTTATTATAAAAAAATCAACCAATAACAAATACTGGAGGGGTAGGGAAAGGAACATTTCACCCATGGGGTGAGAGTGTAGACTGTGCAACCATTGTGGAAATCAGTATTGAGATTTCTCAAAAAACTTGGA